GAAATATATTTGTACGTAAGCCTTAAAGAAATAAACAAATGAAAACACTTAGTGAATGAAGGCAAAACCGAAATATACTCTTAATCATCTTAATACTAAGCCTAATGTAAATATTGTTAACAAAGCTAACCAAATAAGTTACTTAAAGTATTTTTTATTTGTTCTGTCGAAATAGATTTTCCTGTTCTTATTGTTCCTGGAAGAGCAAAAAATTGAACTGTCTAATTATATTTTTATGCTCATATAGTATACAGCTTGGTGTTGAAAATGTTTATAACATGATTGAGGAATGTTCTAAAGTAAAAATACAAATTGAATTTGAACTGAAGCAGATGGGAAGATATTCCAGACTAATCAGATCTGAAAAGCTCTTTTTTATGTAAATATGATGACAAGTGTTCTAAAACCTCACAAATTTACAAGTTATTGGAAGAATTACTGGTTTTAGTTTAAATGTTTAGTATCATATTGGATTTATGCTACAAAAATACTTCGTTCTTATGGTGTAAAATTCAAATAAGTATCGTTTGCTGCAAGAGTCTTTCTTAACTATGTCTGGATTCTTGCTCATTGCAATTGTAAGATACCTGCTTCGAGACTGAATTAGCTTTTCACAACCGCAACTTCCATGTGAAGAAGGTTAAAACTTTTCACAAGGTCAATGAGGTGGATTTTCTTACAGCAAGGCCGAAACGCTTAACTTATAATAATGCCTATAACATGCCCAGTAGACAAATACACCCAACTGCTTGCGAGTATTTTGGCTATCATCATTAGGGATTCATGAAAACAAGTTATTAAATAAGCTTGATCTGGTATTAATTATTAAAATCATTATCATATCAAATAAAATTTATTGATCACAAAGCTACAAAATGGCCCATCTTTCATCTGCCACACCAGTATCTAACCCGGATTTTTAGCGTCGTAAACCTGCAAATTTACTGTTGAGCCACTGAGGGGCTTATAAGGAAATGATAAAGCAGCTGCAATAAATTATTTTAAATTACATCTGTTAAAATGATGCCGAGCTTCAATAAGAAACTACTTTTGCACGTTTCTTGTTCATGAATAACACAGGCAATCTTTGTGAAAGCTGTTTGAGGTAAATGTTTATATCGTTGAGTTCTTAACCTTCTTGAAGTCTAATCATATATAAAAGTACAATAAAACAGTTTTTTGTTATTTTTATCATTCTATAACAAAATAGGTTTTTGTTTGTACTATTTGTGGTGATTACAATTAAATTTATATAAGTCAAGCTTTGATGATTTAAAAAACACGACCAAATGAACACTAAGATGCTCTAAGGAGAGCAGTATTTCAACACAGAATGAAACGGACAATAATTATTATGTCGCTAGTTGCTGAAAGTTTGGATAAGTTTGGAGCAACAGATCATACTGATGGAACTATGCCGTCATAAAGGCTACAAAACTAAGACAGCACATGGTAACCACCTCAGGACCATCACAAGATGTGCGTCATGTGACCAGACTAGTTAGAAAGCACCGAGCTACAAGAAGTGCAACCAATCGAGTAATCAACCGAACTCAAAGCATCCTAAAGCATCAGTTGGCACTGTTTTGGATGTGCTACTAGTGATGGGGCTTTCTGAAGATGCGACTCTTTTACTATAAATCAAAAATCGTTTCTTAACTCTAGGTTGCTTAATGACAGGGGTTCGGGCGATCACATTACCCAGTATAACTGTCAAAATGGATGCAGTAATTGAAAATATTGGTATATATAGTAGCGCTCTCTAATGTTATAGAGGGAAAATATTAACATTTTCACTATAATACATTCTTGCTTGTCAACCATATTTTGTCCGTGTAGAGTCTGCAACATTCACGTTATAGGCCTTTATCAAGTTTGTTACCTGAATGGCTACAATGGCTAATTCTACATGTACCCACTTAAAATTTCCTTAATGCTTGTATAGACCCAGGTTATCTCGATTTATAAAGAATTAGCACTACATAACACTTTATGTGCGCTGCTCTTTACTGGCCTAAAACTGAAGTTCAAGCCATTCCTAATAATAAAGCTGTATATTATGTTAACTAAGATCTGAGGTAATTATTTATGAAAATTCTATCTGTATTGTTAATTTGTGATACTTGACAACAAGATTGATATACAGAGTTTTTGTAATACAAATATATTTTAATATACAAACAATAACACAATTTACAATAACACTTATTACAAATAATGATCTATGTACAAAGGTTTTACAAACTTACAAACAATATTTAGCCCTCTATCTGGTCTGGAACTTCCTTGATATGTTATCGAGGGTTCACGATGAACGAATTAATTTTGAGTAGATGTAGATACAATTCACTTAACAGTTTGCAAGCTAGCTCTGTGTTATTCGTTCTTCGCCAGCCACACGCCGTGTTATGCACCACTGAAGTTATATAATGGTTTCGTAAAAATGCTAATGTTCGATTTGAATCCGATGAAGTTAAATGGTTTGTAATGCTCGAAATCGATGAACGTTCCTGGTCAAATATCTGAAGTTCACGATTAATAAGCGTTATAGCGATCACAGTTATAGCTTCCGAGGTTTATTGTACACCAACTAAAGCAAACCAATAATATATACTGTCTTTTGACGCGTCGCTTTGGTTATATTTATAGGCATGAGGCAAGTTTCTCGAAATTTTAGCTTACGCAACAATATAAACGATACACCAGTGTTTACCTATACACATATATTGTTGATTCTTACACTAGAGAATTTTCTACAATCTCAGTGAATAGGCGGGAATTTCGCGATACAGATTTAACAGTATAAGTTATGTACATTTATGCACATAACTTTAACTTAAGCAAACATTGATTATTAAAATAGATATATGATAGTAAATCCATCAAACTTGAAAGTTTCCAAGCTAGGTTTATTTGCTACCAGAGTTGTAAATTTGTTCTCTTCCAATAGATAAATATTTGTCCTTATTATACTTAGTGTATATTAAATCAGCCTCGATATATAGAAGCTAGTTAATTAATATCGACATAAAGGATAATGATGTAAGACTTGTTTAGACATGCGGTATATTTCAAGCTCGAAGTATGTTCACTTATTAAAAAAAATTATACCTTCTTTTCGAACACATTTAGGAAGCTAACTGTAATAATACAGGGAAGTCCAAAATTATCTTTCCTGTTTTAAAATTTAGTAAATATATAACTAAAGAAACACAACCATGGATTTTTTAATATCTTGTAGCCCATCTCAAAATGTTTTTATTGTCATGTTTTGTTTTGTTTTTCTCTCCAGTGAATAGTGTTACACTGCAAAATGGCAACAGTGCAAGAAAAAGCTCAGAGTGATGGATTGGTCGGGGTGGGCCAATTCCGTGGTCTCCACGTTCGCCAGACATCACTCCACTAGACTTCTTTCTTTAGGGGTATGTTAAAGACATCGTGTATCGTGCACCTATAGCAAACATCACGGAGCTAAAGACCAGGATAACGGATGCCTTCGCCACTGTAACTGTGGACATACTGCAGCGAAATCGAATATCGGTTAAACAAGCTAAGTGCAACTATTGATGCACACGTAGAACTCTGCTGACATGTCAATAAAAAAATGTTTGAGTTGGGCTACAAGATGTTAAAAACTGCATAGTTGTATTAGTTATTTAATTAATAAATTTTAAAATAGGAAAGATAGTTTTGGACCAACCTGTATTTCTCGACCTTATCATATCTCATGTATAATATTTTTTCTTGAAAATTATTAGGACCATTAGCAAATTACAAGAATAAATAGTTTTATACCTGTTTTTTCTCTTTTTCTTTTAATGAAACCAGTATGGTTATTTACGTGTTCGTTTGTTGAATTTTGCGCAAAGCTACTCGTGGGCTATCTATGCTAGCCATCCGTAATTTTGAAGTGATAGACTAGAGGGAAAGCAGTTACTCAACACCACCCACCGCCAACTCTTGGGCTACTCTTTTACCAACGAAATGGGAAATTAAAACGTCCCCACGGCATGTTTGGTGTCCCTAACCACCATACCACACCAGACCTCAGTGGTATTAATATGACTGTAAATTTTGTAAAAACTTGCATTTCTCCGGTTATCGATCCACAAAATAAACTTGAGTGCAATGCATTTAAAATATTTAAAGCTAATATCGACGTAAACCTTTTTTGGTACCGATCGGCATATCTCACAAGTTATAAACAAAAGTATGTATTTACAAATTTAGAAACGTTAAACAGTGCTTGCAATTAAATACTAAAATAATTGATATTACATACAGTAGGTCAATTCCGGTTCTATAAAACACTATTACCTCAGTACTAGAATATTATTACAGCACTTAGATACATAGACGCTGGTATATGTACTTCCCAGTTACATTCTAGCAATCCCCTCGATATCTTAATGAGCTGCTTAAGCTCTTATAATTCATACATTTGGGGTTCGATTCCCACAGTGAACATTCGCGCAGTTAGACCATTGTGCAACTTTGAGCTTAACAACAAACCAAACGTTGTAGCAAACACCTGTTTTGTAAAAAAAATATTTAAAACAATCCTATTATCTTATATTTTAGACTTTATGCAAAATTTCATTAATATCAAATGCAAATTATCACTTGTTTAACAAACATATTCAGACAAAAGTCGAGAATTTCGATTAAAACCACACCTTATGAAAAATTTAACATACATACTTTATTAGAACGAACAGAAATTATAGCAAGACTTCAGTTTAGACTAGTAAATTAAATTATATTGTATTTACTATTAATAGGGCAACGCTAAGTAAAGTATGAAACATTAATTTATACAGAACAATCTCCCTAGAACGTAAGGATCCTACATGTAATATCCTTGTCAAAGAAATACCACTAAGATATAAGACCAAGGAAAATTGATATTTTACTGCATAACAAGCATATTTCAGAACAAATAACTACATTAATGAACAAGTCTGTATACGTAATTAACCTTTTATAAAACACTACTTTACCTGTTACGCCCACAAGCGCGCCAAGGATTGAATTTATAATGTCACCAACAAGAAACTTGCGATTCTTCACATACCTGAAAAAATATATATATATACATATATATTATAAGCAAGTAATAAATACCTGTGCGACCTTGTATACTTCAGAGGTGCTGAGTAGCGATGCTTACAAAAACAAAAGTGTCATGAATAATATGAGAATTGTAATAACAATTAAAACATTGTTTATGGTAAATATAGAGAAAAAACATGTTACAGAAATGTTTCATAATCACTTCAAAAATAAAAAATATATATAATGAGAAATATTACAATAACAAAGCGATTGAAACACCATGAGAACCTTCTATCAAAAATATCTATTACCATAAATTATGATAAAAATACATTTTGAACACAAAACAACGAAAAGTTGACACATTGAAAGTGGACTTACGTATGTTTACACATTGAAAGTATTAGATATGTTGACACAAGGAAGGTGTCTTACGTATATTGACACAATGAAAGTGGACTTACGTATCTTTACACATTGAAAGTGTTAGGTGTGTTGATAAAATGAAAGTGGACTTACGTATATTGACACATTGAAAGTGGACTTAAGTATATTGACACAGTGAGAATGGACTTACGTATGTTGACACAGTGAAAGTGAACTTACGTATGTTGACACAGTGAAAGTGAACTTACATATGTTGACACAGTGAAAGTGGACTTACGTGGAGATCAATCCAACAAATCCTCCAGCAAGTGAAGCATTAATGGTGGTTACTGCTGCCCTGTAAGATAGGTGATATTTACTGTTTTGGGGATAATTAAATATTAATAAAAGTATAAATAATGGTTACGTCCAACCACGTAGTAATAGAAAAATTTCAAAATAGAAGCACTATTTATGATTATCCTAAAATAATCCAGCAACTTTCATACTTTGACCTTGGATACCTTTAGAATATTCAACATTGTCTAATGCGTCACCCTGCCAAGATTGTTTGAGGTTGACTCAATAGGCTGAGAGTAATTATCCAACAGACTTTACAAAATAGGGTTAAGTTCAATTTTAAACCACTTAGGACATTTCCCATAGATTATAGTGTTTACATACAAATTTTGTTGAGATTGGCCCAATAGTCTCGGAGTAATTAGGGTGCAAACAAACACAAATTTCGTCTTCATACATGTATATATATATATATAGAGAGAGAGTTAAATGAACAAAAACATGCCCAAACAAAAATATATATATATACGCTGCATTAATTGAAATTATACCCAGGTTACAGGCTATAATACGTGGTATAAACTGTGCCCTGGATTTTTCGATTTCTATTTCTTCATGTGAAACTGGCGAACTGAGGTTAAGACTGATAGTGGGCGTATCTCCCCCGCAGTGTGGGTCCTACTTCCGCAGTCACCTCCAAATATATATATATATATACAATTTTAATTTCGATTTCAAAAGTTTTCATGGGGGAAGACCCTTCGCACGTGCGTAAAGGGCATGGTGCCCTTGCATATGAACCGTTTAAAAGAGGAAATAAGAGTTAAAATCGGGAAATCTCTGATTAAGAACAACAATTTATGTAATAAACTATTCGAAGTTTGATCTGGGTGCCTTTTAAAATGTAAAGTCTTTCGGAAAGATAACTTATTTTTAGTTTGGGTTAGTCGATAACATATGGACGTAAACATCCTGCCTAGAAAGTACTGAATGTACAATTATATATCGTTGTCTCGGTTATATTGTTTTTGTTTTTTTCTTCTTTGAATTATCACTTTTTCATAATTCAGACTTAAATTAATTAGTGGATTTGAACTATATAAGGAGAATCTGAGATTATTAAGTTTCCTAATTATAAAAAATGGAGATACTATAACATTGTATATTGTTTAGATCATTTTTCCAGTTCCTATGAGATCGTGCAAACAAATCATTTTTTAGATGCCCCCACTCCTGCGATTTCCCAAAGTGCATAAGGCTCATTGTGTAGCTTTGCGCTAAAAAAAACAAACAAATTTTTTCACTGTTTATTTTTCTTTATAGCTATGGATCCTCTACATTTGGTTTGTTCGAATACGTTCAACTGAAATATCAGATGAGGAACTGAAACCATAAAACCACACACTTATCTACTTGTGTTTGAGGGGAATTATAATTTTGCCCAATAACAAGCATTTCATACACATCATGTTAAAATACGATAAAACATATGTATTACGTGCAGTTTTCCATTGGATGTTGCTCTCGACCTAATACGTGTTATAAACAAACGACTTCTGAAACATAATGTAGCCCCATTTGAGATGATATTCGAGACAGTTTCTCTCCCCCAAAAGTAATCCTGTTGTAGGGAAATGGTTAACAGTGAGATAGCCAGGAGCTACTTTAATCAACGAATTTTATTGTTAGAGTAACCTAGCTTTTTAAATATTGAATTAATTTGATAGTTTTTCTTCTTGACACCTCGCTACAAAAAAAACAACAAAAAACACCTGCACTTTAGGGCCGCGAGTGCATTTTAAGGGTGACAGTCGAATCCTTACTATTCGATCAGGCATGCAAGAATAACCTAAATTTTGGCAATGTTTGCTTTTGACTATCTGCCTTCTCTCTAAAGGATAGCTATGTGTAGGTAATTCTTCTTTTTACGAAATCCTGAAACAAAGAAATAAGGAAAGGTTTTTCTTACTGTTTGATTTAATGAGATGCTTTTGTCAATTTTTATTTATACAGAATTGTAACAGTACGATATTAGCTGAGGATGTCTTTGCAGTGCACAATCTGATCTATATAAATAAACGTCAATATATAAGCGTATGTGTGTATATGTTCCATATACGTTTCCACATTTTTTGATCAATCAGCACCACAAACTTGACACAGTGATACAGGATCACATGAGTAAGGTCACGAGGGGGTTGGACCCCCCTTCCCATCTAATTTTATATCTAATTTAGGAAAACTACCAAATCAGCACAACTGGATACAGTGATACAGGATGGCATGAGAAAGGTCATGAGGGGGTTGGACCCTCCCATCTAATTTGATATTTTGAGAATTCTTGAAAGCACTATGTCTTCCTTTTCAGTCGACCCCCAGTAGCACAGCGGTATGTCTGCGGGCTTACAACGCAAGAAACAGGGTTTCGATACCCGTGGTGGGCAGAGCACAGATAGTCCATTGTGTAGCTTTGTGCATAATTAAAAACAAACAAAACAACCCTTTTCAGTATTGGTACTTTTATGTATTTTTATTGCACATTTA